CTTGGAGAGAATAACCTTATCTAAAGAATGGGCCGAGCTTTACTTTTAGATATTATATTGAATATTTGTGTACAGACAAATAATAATCATAAGATAGTACGAAAACTCTTACAAAAATTTAAGTTACAAAATACAAAGCACGCTGTAAAAAACTAACTTAAATTTCATAAAAGTTGGATTTGACTCAACTTATTATGTCGTATGGTATGTTTAGGATATTCTGACCGTTACTCTATTAGTACGACTGATTTTTAACACTAAGAAGAAAAGCTTGTATAAATACTGTAAATAGGGGGGGGGTTATGTTTTGCATTTTTTGTATGAATTACAAATTGAGCTAAATACGCACCCCAAAGCATGAAATCATGGCATTTCAAATACACAAGTAAGTTAGTAAGATAAAAATTACATAAGTATATCTCGACTACTATTTTTAAATGAGGGTAATGTAATTATCTTGCCTGTTCTTCTTTGATTTGTCGTACAACATAAGACACTTGAAAACTGCAGTAAAGAGTAAAGTGCTGTTTGTTTGTAGTTAAGCACAAAGCTACATAATGGGCTATGTATGTGTGCTCTGCCCACCACGGGGGGGGCAGGGTAAGGTAAACAGGTTGGTTAGTAGAGATTAAGAATTGAAATATTCGGTGTTGGTGGTGGCAAACGCTACCTTTCTAATGAGTGACAGAAATGTTTGAAACATCCTTTCCTTGCACATTTTACTTGAAGTGCCAAGATGTGATACTCATTTTTGTTGTTTGGCAAAATTAAAAAAAAAAATTGCTCTAGTTTCTTTTTTTCTTCGGGAATTTTGATACATATATACAAGTAATGACTGCTGATTCGAGTGAATTTAATTTGCCATGCCATTTCTGAGGGTTATACTTTAACGTATTCTCGTATATTTGCCTCTGTTTTTATTCGCGAAGGAATTATCTCTATTTATAAACCAAGCGAAACAATATATCGATTTTACAAATTAATTTAGCTTACTGTCATTTCTCCTATAAATTTCGTTATTCGTTTTTGTTTGTTTTTTAGGTAAGCATTGTTTGTTGAATTATGGAGATTCTTCACCCTGGAAATCCATGTTTTGTTTTTAAATCTCTAAAGCCGAACCAACATCTGATACACAGAAACATTAATTTTCAAAATAAATACGAAAAAAGCCAGTCATTAGTAAACAGTTTCCGTGCAATAGGTGTAAAAAGTTCCAGATACTCGTTG